GAATATATAAGTGAGATGTGAGGTAGAGATGATTTTGTGGCAAACTCAGCGAGTTTCTGCCCAATGTATTAGATGTGTTTGATATGTCTGTTAGTTCAAGGTATTGAGTGAGGAATGCTTTCATTTGGGGGGGAGAATAATGTTATGTTTGTTAGCCCATTTGACTCCCACTCTTCCTGTCAAGAGTATCCAATGAGCCCGTAAGATGTGATAAAAATAATAACCCTATTGTGGTATTGGTAAAAAAAAAATTGATGAATGCTTAATAATTGAGCCGGGCTTATAAAAATTTTAATGCACATTTTGATTGCATATTTAGACATAAGAAATTATTGGGCCTCCTCAAATTTTACAGTAGCAAAAATGGGCTGATTCAAGTATCATGTTAGTTGGACCAAATATTTATTGTTATTAAAAGACCCAATCTTGAACTTGCAAGTGTTCTGTGGTTGCTCAACAACTTTGGGGATCTAACAATGTTCATAAATTTTTTCTCTTTTATCTCTTCCCTCCTTCCCATCTATTCTATAAAAAAAATGTTACCGAATTGGAACAGAGAAGTGATGATTGATGACCACTGTGATGTTTTAACAATTCCAGAGTAAGTCTGAGATGGTCCTCACTGCTCAGCCATTAATGGCACCCAAATAAAGCTTATTAGGATGTTACTAGGCCTGCTCTTGTGACGTGACCATTAACTGTATTTCTGAATTGGACCACTTTACTGAATTGAACCACTTTACCAAATAAAAAAAAGAGAGGTAAAACCTTTCATTTCCTCTCAAAACACCTCACCACTCTTATATGCCCTACTCTCGTCTCCGATTTCCAGAACCAAAGTTTCCTTCACAGGCTGCACATCCAAATCGTGATCCTCTTGAAGCTTGACCGAAACCTTTTTTTTTCCTTTTGATTTCCATCACACTTGTCACTGCTCACCATCTTTGTGCACTCCAACCCATTGTGTTCGGTCTGAATTTGTGAAACCCACTGAGCCTACTCGCCGCCGGTTTGCTATCAAGACCAAAAACTCATCTCGAAGTTGCTGCATGGTCAGAGCTAGCAGTTCAGTTGGAGCATGTTCGGTCAATATACACCATCTTTATGAGTTCACCGACAGCGACAGAGCTGCATCCAACATGCCATTCACGGCTACCGAGGAAACATTTCAGGAAGCATGATCTTTGCTAACCGAGGACTCCACTCAATCAGCCTCAGTCATGGCCACTTAGGAAGACCATATTCATGGTCTCGCAGGTTTCATCTTCACATTTTTGTATATATATAACATCTGTTTAATTGATGTACATTGTGCTGACATGTTTAGAATTTTTCACTGAATAACATATTGGTTGGTTGTGTGATCTGTGACCTGTTTTGTTTGCTGTGAGGACACAACTTCCTTTTAAGTTTGGGGTGGGGTATACAGAGTATACATGCTGTGTTGATTAATTTTGCACGCTGAGTTATTAAAAAAAGAAAAAGAAAATTGAATTTTTTACTTCCTATTGGGCTGTGAAAGAATTAATAAAGCAGGTGAAAGACCCAAAAGGTAGGGAAATCATCCCACGAAGGTAAAAGTAAAAAAAGATGAGATTTAGATAAATCTACTTACTGTTTTTACCACTACATTGCAGGAATTAAGAGCATGTGAACAATTGGCTGAGTTGAAAGAGATCTAAACCATAGGATGCCAATAGAATCTGAAGGACAGCAATGCATTTTGGGGAGCTCTTTAGTTTTTTTTCGTTAAATAGAAGTCTGAGTCATTAGGATCTGAGAGAGAGGATTTTCATTTTTTTTGTTTTTCATACTTCACTTTTAGATTCTTGAACTTTTGTTAAGTGTTCTTTCTGTTCTTCAAGTTCTCTCATCAAGAGCAAGAGTGAAACTTCTTTCTTGGTGGGATCCAAGACTCAACTACATGCAAGCTTTGGTTCTTCATTTTCCTTTTCTAAGCTTTCCATTTTCTGAACATTGTAATTCTGGAATACTGGTCTGTATTTCTACTTGAGATCTATTTTCTTTATATTTTGTAATGCATGTTAATTTCAGTTCAGATATTGCAATTTTCATTTGTTAATATGAATTTCTAAGTTTCTTTTTCTGGGATTCACGATGATTGGGTGATCTTTTATTTTTCTGAATACTGTGATGGTTTGCTTTAGTTTCATTTGATTAACAAGATTTTGATTTTAAGTTCAAGAACACCATGGGAATGGATCTTGAATATATTTAGCATAGCTATGATTGGGAAATCAGGTTATGTTCCTTGTTAATTGAACCCTTGAGGTTAGGGATAACCCAAGGAGGTCTTTGATACAATTTTTAAAGATTTAGAAGACTTTGGGAAAAGATCCTTCTAAAGATTAAAATCTGGAACTGGGAAGTTTCAGATAAAATAGCCATAGTAATTCGAATTCTGATAATAAAGTGCCGTAGCAGTTATAAAACGCAGGAATGCGAAATTTTTCAATCATCCATGATTCAAAGAATTCCAGAACCTTATAATTGTTACATTTGTGAATAGTATCCCTCTGTAAAATTTTGTTTAATGCAAGTTTGATAAATATCTTGGGAACAATACATGTGAGCCCTGGGAACAATACATATATATGTATAACGTTAAATATTTTATTAGTTGCAAGTTATATGTTGTAGATGTTTAAATCTTAATTATAAAAATCTAACAATTACTAAATACATACTAAAGTCATCATGAATAGCAGAGGCCTCAACTAAAAGCAAACTCAAATTCGCACAAGTCAAAAATGCCACCGGCCAACAGCATAAAGTGACCGAATTCATAGACACACAGTGGCCAAAATCATGTATAAAAGCGTTGAATTTTCATTTGAAAATCACGCAAACCAATAAAATCAACAGATACAAAGTGACAAAATAAATGACCATGTAAAGAAGAAGGCAGCGCACAGTATCCTAATCACTTTTAATTTTAACATGGTTCCTCAATCAACAGTAACATACAACAAAGATTATACCCAAAATTGTGGATTTACAAAGGGATAATTAAGTTTACCTTGGTTCTTTTTAGAACAGAAAAATGAAAACTTGAGAGGTTTAGAATGCACCCAAATCTTCAACAAAGGGTTCTCCTTCAGCACAACTAAAGCTTTAATGGATGGGTGGTGTTTCAATGGAAGAGAGGAAGAAAAAAAAATAGAAACTTTAGAGAAGAAGGCTGGGACTCCAAGAAACTCAAAAGAGAAGCCACACTCAGCCGCTGAGATTCTTTCAAAAAAACACACCTAGGGTTTTGTGCCCAACTATTGTGTTTATAGGTCACTTAAGGGTTAAAACACACAATATTAGCTTTAATTGCTACGCTTAGCATTTTAATCTCAAACTCTGGATTCATAACCTACTCAATTTTACAAGAATTTTCATATTTTTATTATATTTTTCTGAGCACATTTCCGGTACGCATTTTTCATAGCCAGTATCAGTTTCTGGCATCATTTCTCATTATTTTGACTTGAAAATCGTTTTACAAGTCCTATATATTATTCTAGTAATTATCATGCACTTACATTAATTTTCCGGGATACTTTTTCGGTACGCATTTATACCGACTAGCAGAACCGGTATCTGCACTTTTCTTCCGAAAAGCGACTTTCAGCATTCTTAATCACTTACCATAATTATTAAAGCTTCTTAATAATTATTAGGGTCAATTATGGAATCATTTCCTATTTTCACATAATTAATTAATTAAATACCTTAATTAACGGCGCAGGTTCTTACACCGGACGCTGACGAGGGCGGGGAGTGATCGCCGGTGCGAAAGGGGATGGACAAAGAGCGGCTCCTGGCAGGCTTCTAGGAACGGGGGTACATGAATGAATCGAATCAACACCCGAAAGAGAGGGATTCCAGAGATTGTGCTGGTATGGGACGGTACAGTTGGGAATGACTTATAAGAATTAATTGGTACTACCTATACTAACAAGATGCATCTTCTTTTCGGTAGCCCGAAACGGAAGAACTCCATAGTTAAGCGTGCTTGACTTGGAGCAATTCAGGGATGAGTGACCTCTTGGGAAGTTTTCCCGGGAAGTGTGCGAGTGAGGACAAAGCACGCTGAAAAGTCTCATGTTAGTGTGTGGGGACAGTCGTTAATCCTTGCAAGTTGCCAGACGTTACAATCTCGCCTACCGCTCATCATCTCGGCAAGTGTTCTCTTCATCAATAGCCTTCTTTTCATCAACATCCTCTACATTAATAGTGTGTAATCTAGCCCAGCCCAATAATTATTAGACTAATCAGATAATATTTTCCATGAGAGAGTGTCTCGTAATTGAAACTTAAAAAAAAAATACAAAAGAAACAAAACAAAAGCTAAAATAATTTGAAGTTAAGTGTTCGGGACAATGTGACATGATAAAACCCTTTCACCAATTAAGAAAATAAAATCACACGTCATTGGAAGGAGGCGTGGGCACTAGGGAGTAAAAGATTCAATCCCTAAAAAAAGAAAGAGCTCGAGATCTGAATTTCTGTTTTAGGATACACCATGCATGTCTAGCTATTGATAATACAATTAACTTTGTCTACATAGCTTCCTCTTCCAATAAGACATCCCGTGTCAAATTTGATTTCTATTAAAATATGCCAAATATATCTGAGTTTGTTCCTTTCACATTCTGAGCGGTTATAGTAATGCACCCAAAGATAAACCATGCGTGCTCTAATTCCACAATAGAAGAATTAAATATTATAAAATTTTTATATAGCGACCACTCTACAATCACAATAGAAAATAAAAAAGTTGATCGAACAAGGACCACAACAAAGATGGTTCTCAAGTCCAACATGAGCAATGACACCATCTTTGGTAAGCCTTCCACACGTTTCATTATTTGGCAGACAAGTAATGTACAAGTATAAATACCCCAAACTCACAAAGATCTAAATCATCTAAAAAATCCCAGTCTCAGATAAAAATCAATCTAAGCAAGCTACAAACTGTCTAAAGGAAAATGGCAGAGGACAATGTTGTTCTATTGGATTTCTGGCCAAGCTCTTATGGAATGAGGGTGAAAATCGCTTTGGCAGAAAAGGGCGTTTCACATGAGTGCAAGCAAGAAGACTTTCAAGCTAAAAGTTCTCTGCTTTTAGAGATGAACCCGGTTCATAAAATGATCCCGGTTTTGATTCATAATGGAAAACCCATATGTGAATCACTCAACATCGTTGAGTATATTGATGAGGCTTGGAACCACAAACCTTCTCTGCTGCCTTCGGACCCTTACAAGCGATCCCAAGCCAGGTTTTGGGGCGATTACATTAACAAAAATGTAAGTTATATGCCACATAATTATTAAGTATTGATTTTATTTATATCTAGCTATTTAAGGTGTAAGTAATAATTAATAAATTGTGTACAAGTTTTTATTTTTATGTTAGTGTAAGTTCATTCCTTTTATATATATATGGTCAAATTATTTTACAGTGTATATAAGTTACATTTTTAATTTTGTTATTGATTTTATATATATTTAACGGCTTCAATATTTTTAATTATGCAAATTGTTGAAATAGAAGTGTATCAATAAATATAAAAAAAAATTATTTTTATACCGGTATATAAATAATTTAACATATATTTAGCGTTTTAAATTTTTAATTGATTGGTTGTTCTTGATGTAGGTATACAGTATTGGAAAGAAGGTATGGATGGGGAAGGGTAAAGAACAAGAAGAGGGCAAGAAGCAATTTATAGAATGCTTGAAGATCCTGGAAGATGAGCTTGGAGACAAGAAATATTTTGGTGGTGAGGATTTTGGGTTTGTGGATGTGGCTCTTGTTCCATTCACAAGCTGGTTTTACACGTACGAGACATGTGGGAAACTAAGCATAGAGGAAGAGTGTCCAAAGCTTGTGGCTTGGGCCAAGAGGTGCATGGAAAAAGAGAGTGTAGCCAAGTCACTCCCTCACCCTCACAAGATCTATGGCTTTGCCCTGCAATATAAACAGAGACATGGACTTGAGTAGAGTTTGCTGCGAAATGCTTCAGAACTTGGGAAGCAAATTGTGTGCTTTATGGAGAATAATAATGCTTAAAATTAAAGAAATATATAATATAATATGAATTTGATTTGTATGCAATGTGAGTGTTAAAAAATATATTGTCAACTAATGATGTATTGTTACATTCTTTAATGAATTTAACATCATATATAGTGTTAAACTTCATAAATAATGTGATAATTTAATATTGGGTGACAGTATAAATTATTTTACACCGAAAGAGTATCAAAATTACACTCGTATATTAGAATGCTAGTATGTATTTGCATTTTCTTTTCACATGTGTTCACTGTTCAGAGCTTTTATTCCATGTGTACTACGGATTACTTTAATATTGCCTTTAAATTCATGTATGATGTAATTTGCTTCCTAATAAAACAGTAAATCTTTCTTCTTCTTCTTTTTTATGTGATACTAACTACAAAATACTTGAAAATATATAGTGTTCAATAGTTTTTCCCCATTTAAAGGTTAGTAATTAGAATTAAATCATACACAAAAATCATTTTCAAACAAAATATATTGAAAAAAAATTAACTATATAAATGTTCAGTTACGACAACTCGATGATTAAAACCTCAGTCACCAGCCTATGTACAAATTCTTATGGATCGCCTGACCTATTAGCCTGCGCTACAAATTACATGTCTGGTCTTACCTATATTTAAAAAATAAAATTCTTGATATTGGTCTGTTAGTCTGTTTAAGTCTATTAAAATTCAATAATAAAAAAATATTAAATTAATATTACTTTATTATTTAAAATTATTAAAATAATAATTTTATATTTAAAATAGATAATATGATATAGGCCGTCACGTAAGCTTTTAGGTCCGACATGTACAAAAAAACCTATGGCCTATTTTCTAAATAGGTTTTTCTAAAAGTCTATACTTGTTCTATTTGACTATTTGTAATAAGTCAAGTCTGATTTAATATAGGCTAGATCATAAGTCCATGTAGACCGACGTAACTCATTTACACCCCTAGTCACCAGCCTTTAAATGACATGTTTTTTAAAATATTTTTTCACTATTATTCTACTGTGAATATGAAATTTTTAAGATTTACTATTATATATGCACTAATATGGAACTAAATCATTTTTAATTTTGCATTATTCACACGGTAATTTCTTTTCTAGTAGATCACATAGTAATTTTTTAAACTAAAAAATCTTTGTCACAGTTCACATCTTTAAATATGTCTATTCTATCCATTTTTATATATACAGTTAGATTATAATCTTTATTGAATTTCATATTCTCTCTCTTTCTGTTAGATAGAAATAGGTATAATAGATAGGAAAAAACAAAGTAAATATAATATTTTATGAGATAGGATATTCTTAATATTAATTTTTTCTACTACCATTTTAATTACTATTAGATTCAACAGTTGTTGTTTTTTTTTTTCTTCTCTTTCTTAATTCAACTTTTTTTCTAATCCAACGATGATTAAGATAATAGTGAAACGATAGTAAGATTATCATATCTCGTATTTTAAATAAAATACAACGTCCAAATCTTCACTCAATCAAAGATTTTTTTAGTTGATCCACAACAAACGTTTACCCAGAATATACTTTGGGCCAAGCTCTGAAGGTTTCAAACCAAACTTAGAATAAGCCCACAAAATGGACAACGAGGGCAGAAACCCTAACTGCTATATTTTATAAATAGTGCCTCAAACCTCGTCACTTCGGAGTTCAGAGAACATAGCTGCCGCTATGTTTGCTTCGTAAAGCATATGCTGTTCTCATAGGTTTTTTGGTGTTTGATCTAGCAGTTCCATGTTCTCTTAGGTTTCGAAATTAACGTTTCTCTGTTCTTTCTCTCTTTTAATTTATCAATCTTATTTTGAAGTATCAGATTTGAACCCGTGCACAATAAGCCGATGCTCTGGATTGCATAATGAAGGAAGCATGGTTGTGTGCACGGAAATTGATTCCCTTGGGTCAACATGTCTGCTCTCTCTGATCGCTTGAATTGATTTGAGGGCCTGGTTGCGACCCACATTTTATGTTCCATGTTGAACATTGTCATTTTATTTTCTTGTTAAATTTCTTTTCTTCGTTTTTTGTGACCTGATTTGATGTGGAAATTAATCGATTTATTCAGATTATGATTTTCAATTTTTTTTATTATCACTTTTGAAATCTAAAGTTTATGAGCATTGCGTTTTCTTTATGTGCTGATATTTTTCATTTTATTTTTTAAATACCAGTCCGTTTCGGATAAGCCTGTGTTCTTTTTTAATCTTCAATTACCAAATTGGCACGGGTTTGAAAAGATAAACTTGTAATGTGCTTTTCTACACACAAAAGAATAATGCATATTTTACGGATTTGAATCTCTTGCACCTCAACACTTAAGGTTTTTATGTGTCTTGCTGTAGTTCAGTCGCCAAATGATGAAAGGTGTGATATGATAAAAGGGAAATTATTTTCTAATGTTATTGGACATTGTTTTTACGTGAGATATCAAAATTTGTGTTATTTTTTTTATTTTTTATTTTTTTAATAAGTGGTGGGACCTATTACTTATTGTTTATAAAGAGAAACTCTATTATAAATTGAGTTTTATGTTTATCATGTAACATGATATAACGTCATTTTTCTACACACACATTAAAGAGGTGGGGTCTGTCCACATGTTTTTCTTTCTCTTTCATTATTTCACTTTCTCTCTCCATTTTTTTTGTGTGGGTTGAAAACAACACTTAAATCATGTAACATAACACTAATAAAACCCTTATAAATTATGAGAAAACAAATATCTTTGCTATATAAGTTTTTCTTTAAAAAAATGTTACTCAGATTTTAATAATCTTAAATTTTCGTAAATATATTGAAACAATTTTCTATTTTTCTTTAAAAGAGTAGATATATACCTTTTTATTACTGTCAAATTTGTTAAACATGTTTTTATTAATAAAAGTAGGGTAATACTTTTCTTATTTTACATAAGAAATATTATTTTTTACTCAAACAATAAATAGAAGAAAGAAAATAGTTGTAGGTAAGAAAAAAAAAATTAGGATCCATTTGAAAAATGTGAGTGTAAAGATAATATTTTTCTTATGGAATATAAAAAAAATATTACCCATAGAAATATTTTTGAAAAAAAAAACAAAACATAATTTTAACAAATAAAATAATTTAAACATAAGGAGGGATATTTTTACTATTTAAATTTTTCACTATCAACTTATTACTTATCTAATTACCATTAGATTAACATTTTCTCTCACTTCAAAATTTTTTTAACATTCTCTCTCTTTGATCCAATGGTGATATGATAAGTAATAAGCTAGTAGTAAGAATTTTTAGTAGTTAGAATATCCTCATTCTTTAAACATTTACTTAGTTAACTTTTTTTAAAATAAAGGTGTACGAATATTTAATAAATTTTATATTGGAAAAAAATCAAATAAATTTCCCTTTTTCAAATAAAATACCTTTTAAGGAATTTTGATGTCCTCTGTTTGGCTAGATGATTAAAAAAGTTAACAAATAAATCACCTTTTAAAGACTATGAAAAATATATATTCTTTGTTCAGGCCCAATTTCAATATTTGCATATCAGTAAGTCTTTTATACGTATTTCCTTCTTTCAGGCCCAAATTAAATATTAAGGTTGTTGTTAGTATTGTACACTTAAAAATAATTTATGTACCATTTAAATATGGGCTTTACATCTCTTATTTAACATGAGGTTAGAAAATCTCCTATGCACACATAATTTAATGGATCCCACCATAAACAAAAAATAAAAATAAAAAAAAATATTGCACGTAAAACAAACTCTCACTGACATAAGAAAACAACTCTCCTGATAAAGGAGTTCCTTTAAATATTATCAAAGAGCTATATGGATTTGGATCCTCTCTGGTCATATTACTCAATTACAATCAATTATTGATGATGACATGAGAGAAAAGTGTATGATTTTAAATAAGTGGTTGTGATCAAATAACATGATCACTTTTTCACATATCATGTTATTTAATAACAACTACTTATTTTATCACATTCACTTTTTTACATGAGAGGAACCAAATTCATAATATAATACTAAGTCTTTCTATCCTTATTTCCTGTTTGGATCCTCTCTTTTTTTATTGTTAGAAATTAATTATAAGCATAAGTTAGCCCAAAAATGTTTTGAGAAAAGCTATTATAATGAGAAGCTTTTTTTTTATAACGAAAAAGAAGAAGCTAAAAGCTCTTAGGACGAGCTTTTTTTTAAATCTTATTTGCTTTTCTTGAATTGTTTTTTTTTTTTAAATGAAGCTATAAAATAGAGAAAAAGATAGTTTTCTGAAAATATGTGACTTTAATTAATTTTTAAGCTAAAAATTCTATGTAATTACTAAATAATTTTTAGCTTTTTTTTAACTCTCTTCTTTAGCTTTATCTTATAAATAGTTTTTAGCTTGAAAAAAGAGAATCCAAAAACGCTTTTTTCTACAAAATTCTAATTCATGGAAAAATAGAACACTTGCTTTTCCGATTGGATCCAGATTTTTTCGTAGAAATTTTTTTTAAGAGTAAACACCCTTTTTGGTTCCTGACAATATCCACGAAATCATTTTTAGTCCCTGGCAATTAAAAAGGACCAAAATGGTCCTTGAAATTACAAAAAAAGGGGCCACGTTAGTCCATGACAGTGCCCATGTGGCACGTTAGTGTGCTGACGCGGCTTGGACGGTTGACACGTTGGAACTACAAACGACGACGTTTTCTTCTAAATGGGTACATGGCTTTCCAAAGTACCACACGACGTCGTTTTATGTTTGACAAAACTCAGCACCAACACTGGAAGTTACCGTAGAGAGTCATTTTTATTTCACTAAGTTTTTGCATATTATTGGAACCCCATTGTTGACCTCCGAAGCTTCGTTGAACGGTGAGGGTTGTCGAAGACGGTGGTTGCAGGTAAGACAATCGAGCGTGGACAGTGAAGGTTGTCGAAAGGCTGGTTCTCTGGTGGTTAAGGGAAGTTCGAGTGTTGGTGTTTTCTTACATGCAATAAGGTAAGTGTTTTTTTAGAAATTCTTCAATATTTGTGGTCCCCCTCACTACTTGTTGTCTATTCTTTGTTGGATATGGTCCCCCATGTGCGCTCCATTGTGTGTTATTATGGTTAGGGTTTACAAAAAAAATACCCTTTTATGTATATGGTCCCGGTTTGTATAGTTTATTGCCATTTTTTAGTGCTTTGTGGTCCCCAATTTTTTAGTGCATGCATAATTTATAAAGGTGAAATTTTTTTGCAAGTTACTGGCTTGTATGGTTACACGACAGTGTTGAGTCTGATGTATAGGGTTATTGGCATTTTAAAATTGCTTTGTGGACCTGATGTTAGCATTAATTTATTGTAAATGTGAATTTATTGTAAATGTGAATTTTTTTTGTTGCAATTTACAGCCCTGTGTGTTAACATTCCCGTGTTGATTTATATATGCAAATGGCTAGAATTGTTGTTAAAATATGATTGGTTTGTGGAAGTTGTGAAGTAACTGCCATGGTGTATGTTTTTTTTCAGATGGATGAATATATAGTGATAAGGTATCATCATGGGGGTGTGTTAATCAGAGATGATAAAGGGGTCCTAACCTATGCAAATGGCAAAGTGGATGACTTACCTGAGATGGATGCTGACTTTGTCAACCTGCGTGACCTTGATACTCTGTTCAAGGGTTATGGGTATGAGAAATGTGATCAGATGTTGTGGCTCATGCCAAACGCAATGGATTCAGACAGTGGTTTAAGGCCTCTGAGTACGGACTCTGATATAGTGGAGATGGTTAAGGCTGCATTAAGTAATGGGAACTTTATAGAAATATATTTTGATCATTGCATTTCTATCCCTGATATTTTTGCACCTGCACCTGTGGAAGGCAGTGATGAGGACGAGGGTGGCAGTGATGAGAGACTACTTAGGAGAGCTTTTGAGAAGCAATCCAGGGTCTACATGTCAAATGCAAGTGATTCCACAACCTGATCCACAAGCCTCACCCATATTTTCTAAGTTGTACATTTGTCTGGATGCATGCAAGAGAGGGTTCAAAGCTGGATGCAAGCCCTTAATTGGTCTGGATGGATGTTTCTTGAAAGGATATTATGGAGGTCAATTGTTAAGTGCAGTTGGGGAGTATGCCAACAAAAGCTTCTATGTCATCGCATATGCAGTTGTTGATAGTGAAACAAAAGAGAACTGGAAGTGGTTTTTAACCCTGTTACAGGAAGACATTGGCCCTCATGTAGTGTTTGGGTGGAACTTTATTTCTGACCAACAGAAGGTTTGTTTTGCTTATTTCATTTAAACTTGCTTACTCTGTTTAGTGGTTTTATTTGTTTACTCTGTGTTTCCTTCACTGAATCTGATCCATTAGCCTTGGTTTTTTTGGTTTTTTTGGTGTCTGTGTGTAGGGGCTGATTCCAGCACTGCAAGAGGTGATGCCTGGTGCATATCATCGTTTTTGTGTGCAGCATGTATGGAAGAACTTCATAGAGCAGTGGAAAGACAAGGCAATTCGAGGCATGGTCTGGGAGTGTTCAAGATGCACCACTGTCCCATAGTTCCAGCAGTCAATGGCACGGTTGAAAGGGAAGAATGAGGCTGCATGGAAGTACTTGGATAACATTTAACCCTCAAGTTGGGTGAAAGCTTATTTCAGCCACTGGCCGAAATGTGATAATATCACAAACAACATGGCAGAGGTATGGAATGCCAAGATTGTTGGGTATAGATCAAAACCAAAAATCACTCTATTAGAGGAATTGAGATGTTACATTATGAGGAGGATGGCTACACATCAGAGGGTGTTAGGAACTGTTCGAGGTAAAATTGCTCCTGCTCAGCAAAAGAAACTGGATAAGTTAAAGGTACTTAGCAATTCATGGACACCAACTTGGACTGGAAATCTGCAGCAAGATATGTATGAGGTCAGTGGGAGAGGTGATGGAGTTGGAGTAAATTTAACAACACATACATGTGCATGCAATGTATGGCAGTTGACTGGACTGCCATGTGAGCATGCTATAGCAGCCATTTGTCAAAAAAACGAAGCAGCTGAGAACTATGTCTATCAATGGCTTACAGTGGATGCATTGCATGCCACATATGCGCACACCTTAAACCCAGTTAATTCGGACAAGTATTGGCCTGCATCTGATGAACCCAAACCTCTTCCTCAAAAACTTAAAAGGCCATTTGGGCGTCCCAAGAAACATAGGAAGAAGGACCCATCTGAAGACCAAGGGAGCAGTACAAAGAAAGTCAAAAGGACATATGCAGCCAAGTGTACTAAATGTGGTCAGACTGGACACTATGCAAAAAGTTGTAACGGGCCACCAACTTCCAAAACAGATAAAAGCCAAGCAAGACCATAATCTGTGAGGATTGACTCGAACTCAGTAGATGAAATCCCATTAAGTCAAGGAGGCCCTTCAGTAGTTGGTAGTTCTCAGCCACATGAAGGCAATTTGAGAGGAGGCAGCCTGCCTCCTTCAAATCCAGAAGAAGCAAATGTAGTGTTGACTGAAGAGACAATGAAAGCAGCAAGCAGTGGCACACGAAGCAAATTTTTGCACTTCATGACAACACCTGGTTTCAGGCCACCAAGGCCATCCTTAAGAAAATGAGCTGCTGATGAAGAAGAGCAAGGGAGTAGTGCATGAGCCAACTGACAAGGAGTGGATATAATGTGATTTTTTTGTAAATTCTGGCCATGTGTTTTTGGAGGCCTTATACAGTTATAATGTAATTTTTTTGATGCATGGCCATATTGTTTTTATAGGCCTCACTTTTGATTCCTATCAGTTGGATTTTATTTGTAATACACTACTGGTTTCTAGTTCTAGGAAGACAATTATGTGTAACTGGTTATATTCTGGACATGCATGTTATGTGGAAGGGTTGATGAATGTGATAATTTCATGTCCATTTTATGTTTTTATCATTTAGCTGCCATATTTTCTAGTTACTGGTTTGTGCAGGTTTGTGGTGGCCATATTTTCTGGTTACTGGTTGATGAATGTTGCAGGTTGCTGAATGTTGCAGCTATTATGTGGCAGGGTTGATGCATGTCATAAGTTCATGTCCATTTTATGTTTTTTAACTGAGTTAGCTTGTTGTTGGTCATTTAGCTTCCATATTTGCATTCTGGTGCAGGTTTGTGCGGTGTTACTGGCAAAATAGATCATGCCCAATTTTCTGGTTGCAGGGACCAATTAGGACCCCGACAATCATTGTCAGGGACCAATTTGGACCCCTACATACTGCATTTCTGATGTCATGCACTTCTATTTTGTTGATCTGGACTGCATTCAAAAGCATATAAGTCAGGGACAACAAGTGTATCTGATGTAATGCACTACTATTTTTTAAAATGAGTGCTGCATTTTGTTGATCTGGACATCAACAACTCATGTCCTATAATTCTGGAATCAGGGACCAATAAGTGCCCCATGCACTTTGTCAGGGACCAAAACGACCCTTGAGTAACATTGCCAGGGACCTAAATGGTCCTCGTGTTTTGCAATCAGTAACAAAATATGCATAACAGTATACAACTTCTGTATCAGCAATGTCATGAGTTATGCGTCTATATCAGTAGCAATCTATATCTGTTTGTGATACAATGTAGCAATCTTTTATCCTTCAATCGATGCCTAACTATGCAATAGTCCATACTAAAAGAAACTTAGCATCCAGTACAACATTTGACCAATACACAAATATATAATGCCATAATATATAGAGGAATACATTCAAGGCTTTTTTATAATAGGCCATATGATAATACACACAAACAGATTCGAACTAACACATAATTTGTATAACAACAGGAAGGAGTACTCATTACAATTCACTGAAGGAAAAGTACATTTGGGTCACTTGTTTTCACTTTTACCACACTAACAACAAACATACAGATCATGATCACACCAACACAAGCACCTAAGACCCTAGCTGACCTATCAATTGTCCTAATTTTTTTGTCTATCCTATCTACCTCCTCCACCATCTTCAGGTATACATCATTCAGTTTTCTTTCCTGCTGATGAAGCTTCATTCCTTGCTCAGTAATCTTCATATCTTGCTCTCTCATCATCATCTCCACATACTTCAACTTGAAGTTCATTTCAGCAACATCCAACTCCACGGTGTGAATTCTTGCTTCTTCCAGCTCCATGGGTTCATTACACATGTCATCTACCCATCTAAAAAAATCACAATAGAGCTTCTTCTCCTGCCAAAAAAAAAAAAAACCACGGTTAGCAAGTGTTCCAACTCAATAAAAGGGCAGATTACAAATTCATACCTTGAAATTATGACAGCCAAGGAAAGCCTTGTTTGGGTTCCTCTCAGTTTTGGAGGTATAGACAATACTTTGTTTCCCACATTTGCACCTCCGACCGGCGGTCCTTGTCATTGTTCTTCCCCCCATTGATTTACTCCCACTTGATCCCCCCATGCCAGAAGAAACACTCATCTTCTCCCACGCCCACCAAATCCGGTTGATGGGTTTTACTGTCGTCGAGTTTCAATAATCAAAGTGCAGACATTTTGGGGGCGTATTGTTGTTTAGGGATTTGCTCATCAATTTGGGGGATTTTTTTTCCAGTTTAGGGTTCGATTGAAGGAATTTGGGGTTTTTTCATTATTGGGGTTCATTATCATAACAGCAAACGACGTCGTCCTATCCATTAGACACATTGCAACCCATTTTGAAGAAAACGTCGTTGTTTGCTCTTCCACGGTGGCAGGCGTCCAGATCGCGTCAGCACACTAACGTGCCACATAGGCACCGTTAGTTGGGCCGTCACGGTGGAGTTGACAGAAGGACTAATGTGGCCCTTTTTTTGTAATTTCAGGGACCATTTTGGTCCTTTTTAATTGCCAGGGACTAAAAAGAATTTCGTGGATATTGCCATGGATCAAAAAAGGTGTTTACTCTTTTTTTAAAAAAAAACATCAAACTACCCGTGGAATCCTTTTACTCATTCATCCTACTTTAAATATTAATGAATATCATAAATAATAATTAACATAATGCGTAACTGTTAACAATTAAATAGTAATATTATCCTCACCAAAAAAAATTAGTATTCATTGTTGATGATATTAATGGGACATTGACTATACTACCACAAAAATACATATAATATATCAGAACGTCACACGTTTGAAAAAATGCACCAAGTATGCCAAAGTCGCTATCTTATGTAGCAACTTTGGTTGAATTGTGACATCTATCCATTTCTTTCCCAAAGTAACTAACAAAACTAGCGACTTTACCATAGTAGCTATCCTATGTAGCTACTTTGGCCTTGTGACAACTTTTCTAGACTTTGACCATACTGCCTCATTTTTTATATAATCTACATGAATGACATAGAGTCAAAAAAAATTTCCAAATTAACACGGCACCTCGCTGAGGTAGTCAGCTACTATGGATGGGACATGTGTCACTTTCCCAGCGGTTGGAAACCAGAGTAGCTAACTACCTCAGTGACTTTGAGTTACGTGTCTCGTCCATAGTAGCTGACTACCTCAGCGACTATGGTGTCGTGGCAGCTTGGAAAAAAAAATCGACTCTGTGGCATTCAGGTATATTATATTAAAAAAAGGGGCAGTACGATCAATGTCCCCAACTTTTCTTGTTTTCTTTTGGATAATTCTACCATAGTCGCTACCTATTTTAACTACTTTGGTCAAGTGTCTTTCTCTTTTCCATGATTCATGAAGTTTAATAATCCACAAATAAGAAAAAACGATGCCGTTAATAAATTAGTTTTAATAATATTTTATAAAAAATGAGTTAAAACATATATAAAAATTAAAAAATTATGTATTTTAAAATTATATATTAAAACATTATATTTTATAAAAAATAATGTTTTACAAAAAATGATTTAAAACATATATAAAAATTAAAAAATTATATTTTAAAACATTAATAAATATTTATTTATTTTTCATTAATGTACACCATGACCGTAGAGATGTGTTATTACTTATATAAAACACTTAATAATTTTTTTTGATATTTTCATTTTAAGTTCTTATTGTAAAATTTTATGTTTGATTTCCGTTAAATAACATGTGTTTACTATCCACTAGTGATGTTGATATTAAAATTTTATTTAAGAATAGATAAAATATTTAAAATAAAGGGTTCAGTAATTTATTAGCAGCATCTCTCTTTATTATTTGTGGACTATGTAGCACCGATACCGATACGAGACACGACACGACACGACACTCCGACATGTTAATTCTAAAAATTGTTAGATTTCAACAAGTTAGGACACGTTTTGATATTAAATAATATTTTAATTTATATAGTGTATATTATATTTAATATTCAATAATTTAACAAAAAAAATGAAGCTAAAGTTATAATACCCATCAATTTTGCAAAGAAACATAAAATATCTCAAATATTTATATTAAACTCAATAAAATGGTAATCATAATATAACAAATCTAATTGTTGGAACTAAAAACACAATGCGACGCAACTTTTGAACGTCTTTTTGAGTCTCTACAACGTGTGTTAGAGTGTCGGGGAGTGTCGGAGTGTCGGAAAGTGTCGGACACGACACGTCAGGGTTTTTGAAGTGTCGGTGCTTCATAGTTACTGGAGTATTAAACTTAAAGACAGTGGACCAAAGTAGTTGAAATAGGTAGCGACTATGGCTGAATTGTCTCACAAGACCAAAGTAGCTACATAGGGTAGCTACTATGGTAAAGTCGCACCAAAGTCGCTATCTTCCATAGTCGCTACATAACTCAGCGACTATGGTGCCGTGACACTTTGGTTTATTTTTTCAAATGCGTGGCATTTTAGTATATTATATATATTTTTGTGGTAGTACGGTCAATGTCCCGATATTAATTAATATTTAATGGAGTCAACTGGACTAAATAGGATAAATTGAAAAAGGGATTACTATTTTATAATTTTATCACTTGTACACATATAAAAATATATTGGGACTCGTGTGAAATTATTTGAAGAGAAAAAAGAGAAAGATAGTATAGGCCTCATATATTGTATGTGTCTGTAAGAGATAAAATTATCTCTTATAACATGAGAGATAATAATACTATTAAAAAATAGATTCATGTAAAAGATAATTTGCAAATTTTTTAGAAAAATGGGGCACATTAATTAGAATGTCGAATTTATAAGTTTTAAAAAGAGGATGCGTATTAAATGATGGTAGTTTAGTTGTCATCAAGAAATTAAGTGAGTGTGTGAGTGCATGTGTTCGATCCTTCTTAGTATCGTCTTTGGGAGGAGTTTAAAGTCTTAATCTCATAATTAAGGGTGTTTGCGGTCTCGATTGTATCGGTATTGGAAGCAAAAATCATATGATCAAATCCTTTCGGTTTAATCACGTAATCATCAATTCAGTTTGTATTTTTTTTCAAATCCAATCCGATCCAATCCAATTTTATTTGGTTTGGATTGTATAGGTTTTCAGTTTTTTTAAAAGCCTAAGATTTGTATGATGATTAGTGTGTAAATAACATATCTATTCTAATATCGGCTTTGTAAAGTTTGTACGATGATTATTGTGCAATCTATAAGCATTGTACAACAAAAAGGTTAATTACCATTGTTTACCTCAAACAAAAAATGTATAATATGGTTGCCTGAGATACGATGTAACCAAAATTTTGATCATATAGAGGAGCTGTTGTACAACAATAACCCATGTAATAAAAATATATTATGTATCTTACCAAAAAAAAGGGCATAACATAGATCAAGCATAACCCACTTTCTCCAACATGATGTGTTAATGGGCCTTAGATTTAGAATTTTGTTATATGGTTTTTGGGCTATGATTGGAGAAAGGCCTAAGTAGGCAGACGGTAAGGTTGGAAAATCATTGGATCGGTTTGCATTTGATCGGTTTTCACTAACCAATCCAAAAATCGATCCAATACAATTAAATTTTGCAGTTTTTTTTTTTATTTTCGGTTTTTCGATTTTCGGTTTGAATCAATTTTGAACGGTTGATGAATACCCCTACTCATAATCCGTCATGAATTGAACTAATCGTTAAGCGATGTATCAATTAGAATTACAGTAGTTAAAATATCGATTTATCACTACGATGTTATATTTTTACAATTTTTTTAATCAAAACGATTTTATCAATATTCCAAATGCTTTTATGTTTTTATGATTTTTTAACTTTATATTTTATGATTTTTTATCCCCCTTTCAATTTTATGTAAAATCTTAATTTTAATTACCTTGATTGGAATATATATTTGGGGAAGAATCTAGTTACAAATTTTTTTTCTTACAAACTACACTAAGGATGACTAGTCAGACACTCTTGATTGAAGTCTGACTAGTCATACTTAGTGTAGTTTGTAAGTTTGTTAGATTTTTTTTTTTTGTAAATATAACATTTTCCTATATATATATATATATATATATATATATATATATATATATATATATAACATTTTTTTCTTTAAAAGGAGATATTTTTTCTCATATTAGTGACTCATAGCATAAGTGGGTCTCATCTCCACTATTTTGTAGGCCCCACTTATACTATGAGTCACTGACATAAGAAAAATTTTCTCCTTTAAAAGGAGAAAATATTTTTCCATATATATATATATATATATATGGGGAAAACTTTTCTTATTTTACATAAATCAAAACCTTATCTCCTATTGAAACAAAATGGTGGGTCCATCATTTTAAAAATAAAATAAAAATAAAAACAAATTTGACACACAAGTCGATGTATCAGTAGGAAAAGCTTCTTCTCACATGTGGATGGAGATAATCATTACCCTATATATATATATATAGGAAAATTATTATCTCATTTTACATGAGATAATTATCTCATGTTATCCTCACATAAAAAATTATGCCACCATTTTCTTTTTTTTTAATAGGTGGTTGGTCCCACCGCATCATGTGTCTATAGTAGGAGATAATTATCTCCAATAATATGAGAAAATAGAAAATCTCGTGTGTATATATATATATATATATATATATATATATATATATATATAGGGGAAGGATATTGTGACAACCAAGTTGTATTACTACCAAGTGACTACCAATCAATCTTACCGTTAGATCGATTATATTGATCCAACGGTTATATTTATTTCCATCTTTGTATGGTCACGATTTTCCAAATTTAATACTTTATATTTATTTTCACATTTGTATGGTTATAATTTCCCATATTTAATGCTTTCACTTTAAATATGGGGAATCATGACCATACAAAGATGGAAATAAATATAACTGTTGGATCAACATACTCGATCTAACGGTGAGATTGATTGGTAGTCACTTGGTAGTAATACAACTTGGTTGTCACAATATTCTTCCCCATATATATATATATATATATATATATATATATATATATATATATATAGGATTACATTTATCTTATGTTACGTAACATAAATAAGCTTCCTACGCATACAAAGTGGAGGTGGATCCCGTATCTATTTTTTTTCTCCTCTTACATGTGGGTCTCACTTATAATTTTATTTCTATAACATGAAATAACTATTTTCCTACAATATAAGATAAATATAACCTATATATATACTGTCAGGATCATTTTACACCAGTATAAGTTACACTCTTAATTTTGACCATTGAATCCCATTTATATCTAAGAGCTCTAATTTTTTAGTAATGTGAGCCATTGGATACAAGTGGTTCAATGCTCAAGATTGAGTGTAAGACTTTTATCTCTTATACTGTTGTAAAAATATCCTGCCGCATATATATAGAGGAAAATATTTTTCTTTTGTTGTTGGAGATAATTATTTTATGTTAGTGAAACAAAATTATAAGAGGGACCGACAAATAATTAGAGAAAAAAAATAGAGATGAAATCTACCTTTGTTATATATATTTAGAAATTTGATTAATCTCATGTCAAATAAGATAAATATAATCCATTTATTTATATATATATATATATATATATATATATATATATATATAAATGCATTTATGAAATGGTGATGAGGAAATACCTAAAGCGTCCTTCGTTTGATGAACTGGCAGCCGCTAAAGAAGTTGCAACTGTATGTTTTAAAAGAAAGATTGCAGCCTTCAACTTAATTATAACTTATAAGTCAATGAATGAAAAGGACAAGTTGCAGTAACCGCCAAGCATATCCCTATCGGCCAATTTTATTCTATTTTTTTAGTAAAACCAATCGGCCAATTACACAGCAAAGGAAAAAGAAGTTCCTTGTAAAGCAAGGGATGTTCTTGGGCGGCGGATAGTACTCAAGTTAGGTACTTGCACTTCACATTTTTTGAAGGGGACAAAGTCATAATATAATTTTTTCTTTAAATAAATTTTTTTTTAAACAATACTTACAAGTGAAAGTTTCTATAAATTTGAAAGTTGGACGAGCTCTAAATATATTCAATTCTAAAAATTTATATAAGAATGAACAACAATGCTTTTATTGGAAGTAGATGTTTTTATATTAAAATTTTATCATCTATCTGGTCATACAAAATTTTATATTTATTTCTTTATTCATTAATAATAATTAAACCCTACCTATTTAATTCAATCATGACACCAGGACCGCTTGTCGGTAAGTTGAATGTCCATTATTTGTCCACGCGGTCCAAACAAAATTCACAATTTGATATAATGTGTGTCTTTTTGTGAATGACGAAGCATACACGTCTTCACCAGTGCATAAAGGAAGCTAAACTTGCATATGCCCAACTACCAGTACAACTCGCATTCACTTTCTGAGCGAAGAAACCTCTAGACTTATAATAATGATTACTTCTTACAGTGTTTGTGGTTCATATAAATGCTGAATAGTCTACTTTTCTTTATTATGAATTGGATTCCACACGTGTGACTTGTAACTTTCGACCTATGTAAGTGCACCATGTGCTATTTAATGTTGATTACAGGACGACATCTAAGTGATATATAATTTATTACAACCTTCGCCTAGCCAAAAATCTTGAATCTTCTCTTCATCCTTTGACTTTTACGAGCTAGTTGAAACTTTGAATGGGCTTCAATTAGCCAAGCTATGATATTGATATATATTTTTTAGTAAAGTAAGATATTGATATATTATCATAACAAGATTGAAAAGAAGTCTAGGGAGTAAAGGGTAAACTTTATTCCAAAATATTCTCAAAACCATCATTTCAAGTTGAGAGATTTACAGTGAGCACATATAGGGAAGCAAAGCTGATACTAAAACAACATCCCCATTTTCAGCATTGATAAAATACAGTAAAACACTAAAAGAATAAGGGGATTCACAAGACTAAAATGACCTTGGCTTTGCGACAATGGTAGAATGTTTCAGAATGTGTAAACTAAATTGCCCTCCTTTCTCAGTGGTATCAAGCTTGGACTGTCCTGGAGGAGGCAAGAGCTCGAAATTTTGGACCAAACGTCCCAAAGTAATGCCAAGTATAGGCAATGCAAGAATGATTCCAGGACAGCTCCTTCTCCCAACACCAAAGGGAAGGTACCTAAAGTCATTCCCATTAGCCTCCACCTTGGACTCCTCCTCTAAGAACCTCTCAGGTCTAAACTCCTCAGGGTTTTTCCAATGAGCAGGGTTGTTAGCAAGCCACCATGCATTGACCAAGATCTTGCTTTCAGCAGGGATATCAAAACCACCAAGCTTTGCATCGTGAAGGTTCATGTGTGGGACAAGGAGTGGAATAGCCATTCGAAGGCGTAGTGTCTCCTTGACAACAGCTTGTAGGTAAGGGAGCTTGAGGGTATCTGGCTCTGTCACCTGGTGTCCAGGTCCAAGGACTCTGTCAATTTCATCCCTTAACTTCTTCTGAATCTCTGGGTGGTTTACAAGTTCAGCAATGCCCCATTCAATTGACCATAGAGTTGTCTCAATTGCTGCTCCAAAACAAACATTTTGTACATTAGAAAACTTTTATTCCAAAATTATACCATTTCGAAGAAGAAATAAACTAATCAAAGTTGCAATTAGGAATCACATATAAGCAGTCAAAAAAAAAAAATTTCTTATCTTGTGGGCCCCTACTCACTAATTACGCATTCAATACCCCTTTTATTTTGTTTTGTAATTTTTCCTTTTAATCTTGTGCTAGTGATAATTTTGCTTTTTCTTTTTCTCATGATGATCCTGGTGATATTGTTGAACAAACCACAAATAATCACGAAAACTGCCGTCCCACTAGAGTGGAGTTAGGTCACCAACTAAATGGTCACTATCTTACCCACTCCGAGACTACGGTATGGTCACCGAACTATAGGACCGTGGTTAAATTTGGGAGAGCGACGTAATCAGAGTGGGAATAGGTCCGTCACCTTTAACATTTCTACATAAATTGATACAGGTTTTATTATTAAAAAAAAGGAAAAAGTGTGTATCATTTTAAAGGATGTAAAATTGTGTCATTTTAAGTGAGAGAAAGAGATAAATAAAGGAGGAGAAAGAGTGGACAAAAAAATATAAAGATGTGAATCTCACGTCTTTGTGAGAGTGAAATGATATAAGTTGTGTCATTTAAAAGGACAAACATTTTTCCCTTATAAAAACTACCATAAATTTATGAATTTACAAGTTACGTATATTAAAAACTCCCCATCTCGTCGATAAGAACAAAGGATACACATATACGTCATCTAACATCACAAGTTTGAAAATTTGGCAAACTTGTATAATAAATGTTTTATGTCAAAAAAATTTATAACGTCTATGTGAAATTTATTTCTGAACGTCATCTCGATAGAAAACTATTTACAAATAAATAATATTTATAAGTGGGCCCAAAAATTAATTAACATGCTCCACCACTCCACCTAACCCCTCATTCAATGATTAATGTCATATTATCATGTCCATGTTGATATGTATTCCTTTCCAAAAAAGACATATTACCTTTACATTAAATCATATTATATTATATCAGTACTTAAACCAATCCGATTGTAATTAGTAATCCTACATTTTTTTTTATTCATCAAACTAATACAACTTTAAAAAATTCATCCAATTCCTTAATTTAGTCAACTTTCTTTTTTATTCTTTCTATAAAAAAAAAGATTAAATAGAAGTGAAATTAAAAAAAAAAGTTATTACCAGCAACGTTAATGTTCTCAACAATGTAAAGAACGTTGTCCTCGTTAATTTCGCCTTTTTTCTGGGCATCCAAGATGTGATCGATGGCGCATTTGAGTCCTTCGTTGTCCGTTCTCTTTGTACTTCCAAGCTTCCTGTTACACAAAATTCACAGTCAAATCATCAAACGACGTCGTTCTCAACAAGTTGAGAACCTAGAAATAGGAACAGTAACCAAAATGTCACACTTTGACCAAAAAATTACTAAAATGTCATGCGAACAGTAAAATTTCTCAAAACTGTCACGTGACATAATTCGATACATATTGTAGCGAAATATGCCACGCCAGAATGCACAGGACCAAAAAGCGTCATGTGTCAGAATGTTGAAATTGTTGAAATTCGCTACATAGGGTAGCGAATTTTAACAATTTTGACACATGGCATTTTTTGATTCTGACGTGGCAGTTTGAGAAATTTCAATGTTCGCGTGCCATTCTGATAATTTTTTTTTTCTCAAAACGTGACAAAATGATCGGTCCCTAGAAATAGCGCAACAAAAAGTTAAACCTTTTTAGAATCTAAACACTTACTTTCTGTCTTCAACGAAATAGTCCTTAAAAAGTTGCAACCTTCGATCCTTAACTTCCTTGCAGATCTTCAAGTACCCTCTAAGGAAGGGTCTTAAGATAGGGATAAAATCACCGTAGTTGTACTCAAAGCTCTGAGCCAAACGGCTTCTCTCACCGTTCAAAACCTTCAGTTTCTGAAACAGAGGGTCCTCTTCACTCTCGAACCTTCTATCAAACATGATCCTGTACATGTTGTTGTACATCATGAGCTGGAGCCTTCGCCGGAGAACGATCCCGGACGTGGCGGCGTCAGGATTCCGGCGAACGTCGTCGACGACGCCTGCCGCCTCATCCTCCCACCCGAACCGGTACTGCTGAACAACCTTGTTGGTGAAGAAAGGCACCGTCATGATGCGGCGCATCTTCCGCCAGTGTTCGCCGTAGACGGTGAAGACCATGTCCTGTCCCTTGCCGGTGAAGATGTCGAAGACGACGTTGCGCGTGCGTGAGCCGAACTCGACGCCCTGCGTGTGGAGGACCTCCTTGGCGAGGTCCGGCGAGGAAACGACGACGAGGTTGCGCTGCCCCATGCGGAGGAGGAAGATGTCGCCGAATTTCTTGGCGAGGTCGGTTAGGTTCCGGTGGTTGAGGTCATCGCCGACTTGGAGCCAATTGCCGAAGATCGGAACAGGGATTGGTCCCGGTGGGAGCTTGAATCGCTTGCCGCGGAGCTTGGCGGCGGCGATGGCCACCACGGCAGCGATAAAAAGTGCGGTGAGGGTCTTCTCCAAGAGGAGGAGATCCATGGTAATGACAAAAAAAGAAAGGGGCAAAATGGGAATTTAGACGGAAGTTTTTTGTGTTTGGGTTTGTGTTTGCGTTAGTGTTTGTTGTGGAATGAAGCTGGGTTTTGGGGAGGATTTATAGGAATGGGGATAGTTGAAGTAGTTGTTGTTGGTGGAGATTGTGTGCGTGATGAAGAGGGGGTGAGTGTCTCAAAGGTGTTAGGAGGATGAGAAGAAAGGAGGGTGTGCTTTGGGGGTAGGTAAGGTAAGAGGAGGGGGTTGGTGGGCGAAATTTTAATTTAAAAAAAAAAAATTATTTTTATTCTTTATTCGTACTGTATTTCAAATTAGTCGTATAGATAACTTAAAGAGTTGGATATCGAAAAAGTCATTCTCTTTAAAAAATAATAATTAGGATTGAATTAATTCTAAAAATATAATAATAAATGATATTATTAATGTATTGAAAAATAATGATAATAATAATACTAATAATAATATAGGAACTTTAAATATAGGGATAAAGTATAAAAGGCTGTCAAGTGAATGGTTCAATGGTTCATCACTCTACTTGTCCGTTGAAATTGCCACACGAGATGGATGACAAGGTCAAATTTTGGAACCCATAATTTTGACAAGGCTTGAGGGAGTTACTAGTCAAACAATCTAAATTCTAAAGTGATGCATGATCAACAAGCCACCAAATAAATAAAAAAATAAAGGGGAGGCGTGGGCGTGCTGTTAAAACCCAAGGAGTAATTTGAATGAATAAATAAATAGTTTTTATTCATAGTGACTAGTGAGTATAACATTTATTTATATTATCTTCTTCTTCTTTTTGAATTAGTCGAATTCGAATACTGCTGTTGGACTTATATTCGAGACGGTTCTTCAAAATTATTTTTTTCATTATCAGGTATTAAATATATATTTATATATAATTAAAAAAAATTTAACTATAATAATAATTTATTAAGAGGTCAAAAAATATCAAACATTGTGAAAAAAGCAGTGAGTAAATGAAATTAACTCAAGAAAAGAAATTATAAGATAAAGAGAAAGAGAGAAAAAGTCAGAAATTATATTATTCAGTGTAAAAGAATATAAATCCTATCATCTCTTATATAGATGAAGGTGGAGGAAGAATATAAGTTTTTCATCTATTCTATTGTTACATACAATACATTTAATCTATCATAAAATATAATAAAGTCCATTTGTAACATTCCCATAAAATGTAGTAAAGTCCATTTGTAGCACTCCCCTTCGACATTACTATGCTAAGTTTATTCCTTGTTAAAATTATGCTAGAAGACCCAATGAGTGCAGCTCAGTTGGTTCCTTGGCGCTGAGTTAGTGGGGTTGGACATGTGTTCGATTCCCGCTGAATGCATTCTTGGGGAGGGGGCTGAACCTTTAGCCATCACTGACCCCCGTACTCCGGATTAGTCCCATAGCCGGCTCAAAGAGTCGAAGCTTGTGGGGATACCGGAGGGAGCCAACTCGCCTCAAAGAGGTAATTAGGGTTGTGTAACTCCAAAAAAAAAAAAAAAAAAATTATGCTAGAAGAATCCAATATGGAAAAATAAATCAACTAAGGAAAAATAATACATGACACATGCTATCAAACATTGTATAATCTGCCTCCTTGAAAACCTTTAACTAAGAAAAATCCTTTGGAAAAAAAATTAGCAAAGGAAGAAAGAGTACAGAATTATACCTTCAGGACTCCATCCTTTGTGGATGATAATAATTAATTTAGTCCCCATGATAAAAGTAAATTATTAAGTTTAGGGATGGACTTATCATTAGAGTAAACTTGCCAGATATTTATTTCACCATTCTTTCGGAGTTCATGTGGGTAAAAGAACTTCGGTGAGTTATCAAAAAAAAAGAAAAAGAACTTTGGTGAAATATGTTTAGTCCAGTTACTTTTAATATATCCATCACTCATTTGTGTAATGCAATCTACATTGGCATAAAAAAGGACACTGGAAAAATTTCCAATTATAGGTCAACCACATGAAACATTAATGTGTTCTTTTGAAGATCTTAACCAAACACATTCTTGACCAGTTTCATACAATACAATAATCTTAGAGTGATTTGAGGAAGTAGCAACTAGACTTTGCTTTATAGACTTCCATGACATTGCAGTACCTTCGCAAAGGAAAATATATCCAGTTTGTGATTTAGCATTATGTGGATCATACATATAGCCTAAGAAGCATCGACACACATATTTTTGTGAAAAATGTGTGTTGGACACCGACACGTTCTGACACGGGTCCTACATGCAATCAACGTTTTTCCGACACGCGATCGATGTTTTCTAACACTTTTTTCTAGATCCAAATTTTATTTTATTTTATCCTTTTAACTAAACATGAAAAATTAATATATAAATCAAATAATTTATGTTATGAAATTTGACATGAAAAATTATTTTGCTTTATATTTATGTTATGGAATTTGAATATTTGATTGGTTGTATGATTTATTATGGGCTGCTATATGTATTACATGTAAAGTATATTATATATATTAAAAATTTATTTAATATCAAAACTTGTCCTAACGTGTCAAAATTTAACATTTTTTAGAATTAACTTGTCATCATGTCGTGTCTTGTGTCGGTGTCAGTGCAAGATATCCAGGCATACAGTGATGGTCATTGCAAGCACCTATATTGCCCCAACACTTCAAAAAACCTGAAGTGTCATACTGACACTCCCCGACACTCTAACACGTTTTGATATCTATAATATTTGAAATTTCATTAAATATCATGAAAAAAATAGATCGATGTTTTACCAAATTGATATAATAAAAAAATGGATATCGAATAAATCTCACTAGAATGCATAACAGATTTTCAATTTGAAAATATAATAGTAAATATTTACATCTTATATTTCTTTGCAAAATTGATGGGTATTATAAGTTTAGTTTCATTTTTTGTTAAATTATTGAATATTAAATATAATATACACTACATAAATTAAAAATATTATTCAATATCAAAATGTGTCCCAAAGTGTCGAAATCTAATATTTTTAGAATTAACGTGTCGGAGTATCTTGTCGTGTCACGTGTAGGTGTCGGTGCAACATAACATATAGCCATCGTTAGAATATCCCACCAATGTAAAATAATCATCTCGTGAATAAAACAAACTAAAATCAATAGAACCTTGAAGATAACAAAAGATATGTTTAACCTCATTCTAATGTCTTCTAGTTGGCCAACATTGTCTAGCTAGAACATTAACTGCAAATGCGATATCAGGCCTGGTGCAATTTCCAAAATACAATAGTGCTTCTATAGCACTAAGATAAGGAACTTCAAGTCCTAATCCTTCCTTGTTAGCTTCTTTAGTCCTAAATGGATCTTTAACCACTTCTAGTGAGCAAACTATCATTGAGGTACTTAGAAGGTGAAACTTGTCCATATAAAATTTCTCCAAGATCCCTTTTACATAGTTAGACTGGTGCAGCAAAATCTCTTTTCGGAGATGCTCAATCTGTAGGCCAAGACAATAATTGGTTTGACCTAAATCTTTTATTTCAAATTCCCTCTTTAGATAGGAACGAGTTTCTTCAACCTCCTTTTGAGTTCTAATTATATTCAGGTCATCCACATATACTGATATAATTGCAAAGCCATTAAGAGATGTCTTAATAAACACACAAGAGCAAATCTCATTGTTCAGATACCTTTGCTTTAGGAGGTAATCTTTTAACTAGTTGTACCACACACGTCCGGATTGTTTGAGACTATACAATGATCTTTGCAGCTTAATGTTGAACATATTGTAATTTTCATTCTTGTTCATATGGGATATGGGAAAACCTTCAGGGACTTTCATATAAATGTCAGTGTCAAATGACCCATATAAACATGCAGTCACGACATGCATTAAGTGCATCTTAAGGAATATACTCGCTGCCATACTGATCAAGTAACGGAACGTAATAATGTCCGTTACGGGAGAACAAATGACATCATAATCAATACAGTGTTTCTGCGAAAACCCTTGTGCAACTAACCTCACTCTATAGCGTGCCACCTCATTACGCTCATTGCATTTCCTTACAAACACCCATTTATATCCTACAAGGATAATAATTTTAGGTGTTCGAATAATAGGTCCAAAAATATTATGTTTATTAAGTGAGATTAGTTCTTCTTTAATTGCCTCCTTCCATTTATTCCAGTCTGAATTCTTCTAGCATTCTTAAATTGTTCTAGATTCTGGATCCCAATTATCTCTTGAGACAACAAGAGCTACTGAGAAGGAAAATGAATCATCAACGATAGTTGTAATTCTATCACATTTCTCTCTTGTGTCAACATAGTTTATTGCAACTTCTATGTTAACATCAACTAAATCTTTGTCATTTCCCGTGACATTTAATTTTGATATTTCCGTATTCCCAGGATTGTTACATTGAGCAACTAATCTTATTTCTTCGTTTTCATCAAGATTAACCTTTTTAAGAGGCACAATGAGTGACTAATTTTTCTTTTTTCGTGGATTTATGTCTTTAACCCCATATAGGTCATCCATGCTTCCGACGTTGACTAGGCTCAGCTAAATTTTGTCCCATAGGAATCTCCACTTTATGTGGTGCATTCTCTGCAAGAATGTAGGACTTATTCACTCCTTTGAGATCAGTAAATGCATCCGGCAGTTGACTCGCAAAAGTGTAATGCCCCGTTCTAGAACCGATTTGTTAACATTACGTATGACATTAACCGCAGTTACAATCACAACAATTGAATTAAAAAAGGGATAAAAATTTTCCTTTTGCATTAATAAATGTTTCTGTTTAAAATCAATTTCGTAATTAAAACAGTTCCAAAAATTGTAATCACAACTTAAACAATATGCGGAACACTTAAGGTTTAGAGTAAAGCTCATTTTGGGTCCCTAACAAAAAACACAGTCCTCACTTTAGTCCCTTACAAAAAGAAATTAGTCGCCTGATCCGTATGAAATTCAAAGTGGACCCATTTTAATCTTTTTGAGGGACTAATATGGGTCTTTTTTGAATTTGTGAGGGACCACAATTTACTCTAAGGTTTATTTAACCATGCCATACATCTCTCCCATAAAGCGCCAAGTAGTCCCTTTAATCCAAAAAGGCTTAAAACTCATTTTTATTCATATTCAACACTAAACATCTTTACTTTTTAATTACTCCAGGAATTCTAT